AGCCTTTCTCCGGACCCTGGTCAGGCTGAACCGCTGCAGTCTCTCCTTCCTCCACGTGGGCCTCGAATCTCTCTTCTCCAGCCCACTCTTTGCTGGGCCAGGTCAACCATGCCAGGAGATGGGGGCCCAAGACCCCCCTCTCTCTCACCGAGCCCCCTGCCTCCTCTCTTCTGCCTGGAGTGAGGGTGTACATACCAAAGACAGAACCGTTTCTCGCCTTTAACGAAAATATATAAAAGAAATCCCTGGTGTCCTGGTGAGGTCCTGGTGGGGCAGGGAGACACAGTCTCTTTTCCTGGCTGGACTTCAGCTCATCTCCCTGGGCGGGGAAGGTTCCCAGGTCCCTGGCCTGGAGCTGGAGTCCTGTTCTGGCCCAACTCAGTGTTTTCACCTGAAAAATGGGTGCACAGTTTTTGAGGGAGAATTGAGGTGCTTTGGGTCCTCAGGCCAGGACACACGCTGATGTTGAAGTGGGGGGCAGTCTTGGGGGTATTGACCTGCACTGGACGTTTCGAATCTGTTTGTAATTAAACTTGGGAATGACCATGAGGAGCGTGAGCCGACTGCACATTAAGGGGCCCTCTTGGTTGGGGGCTGCAGTCAGTCTCCCCAGTGGAAAGCCAGGTGGCACCAGATTTGGCCTCCTGGGGGCTGGAGGAGGTGGGGGGCTGAGGGCCTGTTAGGGGGAGTAAAAGGGTGGTTTGCTCTCCTAGAATTCCCCCAGCATTTCTCAAATACCTCTATTTTTAGAGATAAGAATACCCCAATTTCTCTATTAAATGCACCCTAATTTCTCTTTGGAAACACCTATTTATCTCCCCAATGCTACAAACCTCTCTCTTGAGATATCCCGATATATCTGACAAAAAGCTCCTTGTTTTCCTCCAGTTGCTCCTGTCTTGCCCCTGAACATGGTCTGATCCTTCAGGGATCCCAGCTTCTTTCCTCCCCGTTTTCTTGAGATGCAGCCACACCCTCAAAGCCCCTACTTCTCCCTGATGCCCACTTCCTCCTCCAGCACCGACTTCTACCTTCCAGCACTTCCTGCACATGGATTCTGAGACGCTCCCTCCCAGAGACCACACTCTCCTGGGACCCTCCTCTAACTCCGCCCCCAAACATGGAGGCATCTCTCCCAAAGGTGTCCCCAGCCCTCTCCACAGCCCACCAGAGCCACATCCCTGCCCAGGGTTCCGGTCTGCAAACCTGGGGGGCCTAGTAAGGGTGTGGGGAGTAAAAGCCACTCTGCTCTGCCCCTAAGTAGGGGTGAAACCATCCAAAGGTAGAGCCAGAAGGGAACTCTGATGTCATGTCTCTTACTTCAGTGACATGGAGACTGAGAGCCACCAGTCCGCCCATTGGTCCATTTGTCCATCCGTCCACCCACCCATCCATCCATTTGTCCATCCACCCACCTACTCATCCATCTATTATTCATTCATTCATCAGTCTGTCCATCCACACCCCCTCCTCCAGCATCCTAAGAGCCTTTAATTGTCTGTACTGAGCTTCTCTTATCTGCCAGAAGCTCTGGTGGCTTAGGGGGATGCAACAGTGACCAAGACAGACCTGTCCTCGTGGAATTAGCAGTCAGATGACATCAATCAGCAAATCACCACAGAGTGTCTAGTGCCAGCTGTGGCGTGGACACAGCGGAGGCAAAGCTGGATGCCAGGGAGAGCTGCTAGGGGCCTTTTAAGCACAGAGGTGATAAGATTCCCAAGTGGGAGACATACTGTTGGGGGCAGGATAGGAATGGGGGTGGCTGAGAGAATGCTCTTAGGGTTGGACCAAATAATGTGAAGAAGTGTCAGACTCCAAAGATTTGTAGGCCAGAAAGAGGTCTAAATGCACTTCATTCATTCATTCATTCATTCATTCATAGCCCTGGGTCCTTCCAGGCCCGGCACCACCCCCTTAAAAGTTTCACCTAGCACTCCTGCTAGGCATGTGCTGAGAACTGCACAAACTCAGGGTGCTCAGAGGCGTGAGGAGGCGTCCCACGGCCACACCGCTGGGAGGTGGCAGAGCCGGGGTTCGAACCTCATTACCTCCCCCATCCTGCTCCTGGACCCAGGAAAGCTCTATCGGGGGAGCCCCCATGGTGACAGGAGCTACGAGCCTGGCTCTCGCTGGGTTCCCACCCACCCTGTCTCCAGTCCATTCTATCTGCAGCTATTCAGTTAGCAAATGCTCCCTGCCCTAGCCTCGCCCCCAGGGAGCCCTGGGGTGGGAGGTGGTAGAAATGTTGGTTCAAATTCTGCTGTGCAGCCTTGGACCAGTTACTTCCCTTCCCTGAACTGGGCCTCCGCAGAGTCAGGCCATTCCGCCATGCCTCCGTTTCCTTGTCTGGAAGACCGCCCCCTCCCTCAGTGCCTTATTGGGCCTGGTCCCTCTTGGGAGCTTGCAGACAGGCCTTTCCTCCCCTTTTCAAAGGAAAAGGCAGCTTAGAGCCCGGAGCTGCCTGGGCACAAGGTGGCTCCTCAGGCCTGGCGCTGGGATGGCAGGCTCTTTGTCTTTGAGCCACCTCCCTGTGTGTCCTCCAAGCCTGTCCGCTGGATGCCACAGGGGGCAGCCTATGACTCAGGCCTGAATCCTGGGAAGTACCACCTTCCCACATCTCCTCTGAGACCTGCCCCTTTCCCCTTTCCATATAGTATGTTCCTGGGAATGGAGGAGAGGGTGAGGACTGAGGCGGGAGGGGGTGACCACCATGGCCACAGCATGAGGGGCACAGCTTAGGGTGGGTGGGGATGGTGAGTACCGTCTGGGCCCCCTCCCTAGCTTGGGCCTGAAACCCGCAGCCTCCTCATCTCTGATTCCAGGGAGGCCACAGCTCAGGGTTTGGGGTTAGTCTGGGTGGAGGGGTGGGGGGCTGCCACACCTGTCAGTCACAGGGCTCTGCAGAGGAAGCAGAAGGCTTTGTTGACTTGGGGAGGTTCCTGTTTGGAGTCAGAGCTGGTGGCCTCCCTGCCCTGGTCCCTTCCAGGGCGGCCCACAGGACAGGTGCTTGGAATCTATCCCCAGGTACTTCCCCCTCTGGCCTCAGTTTCCCCAGCCCCCAAATGTGATGGGGTGGGGCTTCTGGCTGAGCGGGGCTGCGGTCAAGGTTCTGGGGTTCACTTTGAGGCCTGGCAAGACCTCCCACTGGCTGAGTCTCTTTCCTCACCAGCAGCAGCTTTTGTGAACTGATGACCAACACATCACACATGTTTAAGTACTTTGCAAACCGTAGCTCTGATGCTGTGATGGCTGTGGACCACCGAGGAGAAGGAGGCAGAGAGGTTTGGACACTTGCCAGAAGTCACAAAGCAGGAAATATTGGTATTAGGATTCGAACCCTTATTAAGTGGCTCCAGATTAATGTCTGAGTTGCTTAACACAGGAATCAGCACAGAATAAATTCACTGCATCCTCTTTCAACCCAACTGGGGAGAGAGACCCTGCCCCCAGCTGGGCAAGGGTGAGTGGGGATTGAAGCCCCCAATTCCCAGGTCAGCCTGGCACTGCCCTTCCTTGCAGACCCTAGCTGGTCACTTCCCCTTCCTGGGCCCCATTGTCCCTATCCTGTCAATGGAGGAAGGTGGGGCAGCCCCCCGCTGCAGAAAGGAGCACTGTTCCAGGAGTCATCCTCCCTGTAATCTGCCCATTTGTCTGGCAAGTTTTCATTAAAGACCCCAGTGTCTTGGAGACACGGCAGGTGCCACCCTTCCAACCACAGCTCCAAGCCCAGGGGGGCAGCAGAATCACACAAGTAATTGCTCTAGGGCACTCTTCATGACAGCTAAAGTTGGGGTTCAGGGGGCTCTGTCAGGCTGTAACACGGGGCTGGCCCAGGCAGTGGTGAGGTGATGCATCCACTGGTATCTGCCTCCCCTGGCATGCTGGTGTCACCCCAGCACAAAATGGGGCTCAGTGTTTGCTGGGTGAGCAAATCTGAGACAGGCCTCCTGGACTCATGGCCTCCTCTGAGCCTCTCTTTCCCCATGTGGACCATGGGACTCTAAACCCCACCTCACTCCAAGGTCCAGTGGATGTGTTGGAGGGGCGGGGCCTCCAGCTGGCCACATTATCTTACTGGCTCCTCACAAACAGAGACCAGACTTGGGACTGGTCGGCCTCCGGTGCCAGAAGGGGAAAGTGAGGCTGAGAGGGAGGACAGAGCGTGAGGAAGCAGGGGGGTTAGGGCTGGCAGCTCACAAGGCAGGGGGGTGGGACCCCAGAGGGACCCTGAGATCTTAGAAGCTGCCGGCCTGGGATTGCCTTGGTTTCTCTCTCTGTGGGTAGCACGCCTGCGCTCTCCCTGCTCTCCTCCAATCACATTGTCCTGTTACAGTTCTGTTCACCTGTGTCCCTCAGTTGGCACCGCCTCTGTGGGATGCATCACAAGGTGGGCCCTGCGTCCCTTGGTCACAGCTGCGTCCCTAGCGCCTGTGTCATTGCCCAACATCCAGTAAGTGCTCAATAACCATCTGCCATGACATGGAGGAGCGGCTCCTTCTCTGGCGCCTGGGGCGGCTTCGCCAAGCGATGCCCACTCACCAGGAGGAGCCGCTGGGTCCTGATTTCTAGAAGGAAACCTTCACCTTCCTCGTCCACGTCTACGGAGGGGAGAGCTGGGGGAAGGAAGTTAGAGCCTGGCACTGAGAGAGCGCTCAGGAGTCAGTTCAGATGCAGTTATTATTGCTGCTATTATTTTATTCTTCATTGTAAGTCGGGAAAGCGGCTCACCGGGGAAAGGGCCCACGGCTAGTATGGGTCTGCGCTCCTCCCCAAATGAACTGAAGCAGAGGCGTGGGGTTTCTGCTCCTCCTGCTCCCCCTGCTCCCCCATCCGCAGGGACCAGCGCTAGGGGTGTCCATCAGCAAACCGCGACCACCTGCTTTCCCTCCCACTTGCCCTCGTCGGCCCCCTGGGTGCCCGCGAGGCTCCTGTGCGCCGGCCCCGGGGTGGCGCGGGGTGCGCCGCGAGGCGGGGGGGCGGGGGCGGAGGCGGCGGTACTAGGGAGAATACGGCGGCGCGGCGGCCGGGCTGGGCGGTTTCCCGCCGCGGCCGGTGAATGAGTCCGACTGCGCTGCCGCCGCCGCCCTGGTGGAAGCAGCAGCCTCCGCCCCCACCCCAGACCCGGAGCCTCCGCGCCGAGACCCCGGCGAGCCCGCGGGACAGCCTCAGCCTCGGGACATCACCCCTGGCAGGTGAGTTCAGGGACCCCGCCACGATCCGCGGGGGCTGCTCGGACCCCACCCCCACCCCCAGCTGAGTTAACCCAGGGGTGGGGGGCGGGGGGGGGGGGAAGGGTCGGAGGGGAGGGATCAGCCGGCTGCGCGATGGGTCCCCAGACTCCTTCCCTCTCCCTGCCCCCACCCCACTTGCCTGGACCCTCAGCCCTGGGAGAAGCCACAGGTGGGTGGGAGCCCGAGGGGGGGGGGCGGAGCTGGGACACGCGGGGGTCCACCCACACCCCGAGGTGTGGTCCCTGTAGACAGAGCGTGAAACCCTTTAAAAAGCGCTTTGAGATCCTCAAAACGGGGGTGGGGGCCGGAGAGGGGCCGCTCTCCCCTGGGAGCTCCCCAAGAGTCCGGGCACCCCTGCCTCCCCCGGCTGTGCCTGGAAGTTAAGCGCGACCTCTGGGGAAGGCGGGGGGGGGGTGTGGGGGGAGGTCAAGCCCATCCCGCCCCCGCCCCCCCCCCCCCGTCCTGCTGGCCCAGGCCCCGTCCAGGTGGCCCCCCGGACAGGTGCCAGGAACCCCTGTCGGCACCCGGTGCCTGCAGGCCTGCAGCGCCTGGCCCCGCTTCCCTCCCCAGACGCTGCGCGCTCCTGGCCTCCTGCGCTGCCCCCATGAAGAAGACCAACATGTGGTTCCTGGAGCGGCTGCGGGGGTCCGGGGAGAACGGCGCGGCGGGGGGCGAGGCGGGAGACAAGGCCTCCAAGGGGCCCCTGTACAGCAACGTGCTCACGCCCGACAAGATCCCCGACTTCTTCATCCCCCCCAAGCTGCCGGCCAGCCCCGCGGAGCCGGAAGGGCCGGCGGAGCAGGGCCCGGCCGCCGAGCCGACCCCGGCCGCGGCTTCGCCCCGCCGCGCCCCGCGGAGCCCCCGGCTGCCCGCCAAGCTGGCGGCCGAGAGCAAGAGCCTGCTGAAGGCGGCCACCCGGCATGTGATCCAGATCGAGAGCGCCGAGGACTGGCCGGCCGAGGAGGCCGCCACCAACGCCGACCCCCAGGCGCAGGGGGCCATGTCCCTGCCCTCCGTGCCCAAGGCGCACACGTCCTACGGCTTCGCCACGCTGGCCGAGAGCCCGCACACGCGGCGCAAGGAGTCCCTGTTCCACAGCGAGCACGGCGCCCTGGCCCAGGTGGGCTCCCCGGGGGCGCGGCGCCGCAAGGGGGGCGGCAAGGCCAACGGGGGCGACGGCGCGTCCCGGGAGGCGGGCGGCGCGCTCATGAGCCCCAGCCGCTACTTCAGCGGCGGGGAGAGTGACACGGGGTCCTCGGCCGAGTCGTCCCCGTTCGGGTCCCCGCTGCTCTCGCGCTCCGTGTCGCTGCTCAAAGGCTTCGCCCAGGACAGCCAGGCCAAGGTGAGCCAGCTCAAGCACTCGGTGGGCCGCCACGGCTCCCTGTCGGCGGACGACAGCACGCCCGACACCAGCCCGGGCGCCCGGCGCCGCCTCACTCGCCGGGCCGCCCCGGAGCCGGGCGGCGCGGAGCCGGGCCCGGTGCCCCGCGCGGAGCACGCGGTGCGCATGGGCCCGCGGGGCAGCGTGCGGCTGCTGGCCGAGTACGAGGCGGCCCAGGCGCGGCTGCGGGTGCGCCTGCTGGCCGCCGAGGGTCTGTACGACCACCTCTGCGATGCCCGAAGCATCAACTGCTGCGTGGGCCTGTGCCTGGTCCCCGGGAAGCTCCAGAAGCAGCGCAGCACCATCATCAAGAACAGCCGCCACCCCGTCTTCAACGAGGACTTCTTTTTCGACGGCCTCGGGCCGGCCAGCGCCCGGAAACTGGCCCTCAGGATCAAGGTGGTCAACAAGGGCAGCAGCCTCAAGCGGGACACGCTGCTGGGGGAGAAGGAGCTGCCCCTGACCTCCCTGCTCCCCTTCTTGTAAAGGCCCCTGGCTGCCCACCCTCCGTGCCTCCCGCAGGTGCCCAGGGGAGACCCACCTCCCCTCCCCACTCGGATTCCGAGGGCGGGTGGCAGGAGGCTCATTGGCTGCGCCAGGGGCCAGGGGGAGGAGGAGGTGGGTTTAAACTCAGGCTGGGCCGGCCGGATGCTGCAGCTGCGGCGGGGGGCTCTCCTGGGATGCTGCATGGTGACCAGGATACTGCTTTTCAGGGACTAAGTTATGTGGAGGAGGAGAAGAGGGGGCTGCCAGGGAAGAGAAGGCCATTTGCAGGCCTGAGCGCTACCCCTGAGCCCCCAGTTCCATGTCCCTCGGTGTGGTCTCACCACTGACAGAGTTCAGGTGGCTGGGAACCTGTGCCAGGAGGTGGCCGAGGTGGATGGAAGACCTCGAGGTCTCCAGCCCTGAGCCTGGGCGGAATCTTTTCCTGTGTGGCACGAGTGTCCTCATCCCCCAGGTCTGCCAGACGCCCCCCCCCCCCCGCCCCCACCAAATCAGTGCCAGGCCCCAGGTTCTGCCGCCAGTGCCCCATGGGGCTGTGGGAGGCAGCAGAGCGGAGGAGCTCATGGTGCAGGAAATCCCAGAGGATGAAAATGGGAACAATGATGGGAACAATGGCTCTGCTTCTGTCCCTGGAGCCAGACAGCCCTCCCGGGGCCGTTTCCCTCCGGCACCTTCTTGGCTTGCTTTTCGGGCACAGGCCAGCCTGGCTGGTCCACTGCATCTGCTTGGGAGCCCTGGTGCTGCTGGGGTTCTGGAGCCTCCCTCCCCTGGAGAGGGATGCTCTGAAAGCACCAGAGGGCAGCCCATGACTCCCATCCCCCCTCCCTCCCATGCTACCCCCCTCCGCCCTCCCCCGCCCAGCACCCTTGGCAACTGGACACCAGGGAGTGATGCCCAGTGACTGATGGCTGTGGCTTTTACTCCACGTGTGTAAATAGGTTTTGGTTAGGGCAGGTAGGATAAAGGGACAAAGGGGCGGGCTGGGTGTGTGTGTGTGGGGTACCCTGGTGTGACTTTTCATGCTGCTAGGGGGCTGCATAGCCTTGCTTAATTTTTGAGGAGGTTTTCCAGCTCAGAGAAACAAATGGTACAGTTTGAAGCAGGGGCAAGCTCCGCCAGGCCAGCTCTGCTCCTGCATTTCTCCTGGGCTGCCTGCTGGGCATGGATGGACGAGGGCAGCGCATTGAATCCTGGGGTGCCCCTCCCTGTTCAAACATTGTCCCTCTTGACTCTAGGTTTCCCAGCCCCACGAGGGGTGAGGTGAAGAGGCAGATTTCCCTCAGGGCTGGGGAAAGCACCAGTGCACCCTGTGCTGAGATAGAGGGGCCCTTGGAGCTGGGGTTCCTTTTAGTGCCCCCTTTGGTCTTTGTCCTGTGCCTGCTCCTTCATGCTCCTGCTCCTGCCTTCATAGGGGCTCCCCCTTCACTCTGGAACTTGGAGACCACCAGGGCCAGGCTTGTGGGCAACAGAGGGCCCTGCAAGGAGCTAGATGCTTGGAGCTCATACCCCTCCTGTTCTTTCTGACCCTGACCTCCCCCCCCCCCCCCCCCCCCGCCCCCCCCCCCCCCCCCCCCCCCGCCCCCCCCCCGCCCCCCCGCCCCCCGCCGCTTTCCCTCTGGGGCCTCCCCTTTTCATATGCCCCGTGCACTGTTTCAGACCTTTGTGTTCGAAGTTGACAGTGGGTAAGCCTTTATGACACCCTTCCCAAGTGTGTTTGTTTATAAATGCTGTTTTTAGTGCAATAAAGGTGTTTCGGGAATGCGGGGGTGGAGATTTGCCTTCTTTGCTGTTTAATAACAAGAGAGGAATCTTGAATTCCGAGGAGGATGGCGGGCGCCTTCACCGTCAGTGAAGTCCTCAGCCCTTTCAGACCCTCTGCTTGGGGTGGAGAGGAAGCAAGATTGCCCAGGGCGATGCCTTGGCCTCCCTCCCCACCCCCAGGCCCTGTTGTAACAGCTGCTGACATTTGCTCAGCAGGTGTCCGTGGGCACTGCTCTTACTCGCCATCTACACCAGCGGTTCTCAACCTGTGGGTCGCGACCCCTTTGGGGGTCGAATGACCCTTTCACAGGGGTCGCCTAAGACCATCGGAAAACACATATATAATTACATATTGTTTTTGTGATTAATCACTATGCTTTAATTATGTTCAATTTGTAACAATGAAAGTACATCCTGCATAGCAGATATTTACATTATGATTCATAGCAGTAGCAAAATTACAGTTTTGAATTAGCAACGAAAGTAATTTTATGGTTGGGGGTCACCACAACATGAGGAACTGTATTAAAGGGTCGCGGCATTAGGAGGGTTGAGAACCACTGATCTACACGAATGGCCTTCACAGCAGCCCCTGAGAAGGCTGTCCACATCCTCATCTCGCGGGTTCGGTAACCTGTCAAGGCAGCCTCGTCAATGGGAGTCTGGACTCGAACTCGCGCCCGCACTGTGGCCACCACGGAGAGAATTGGCAGGATTTGCTCCTTCCGGGTTCTGTTTCCTGGGGACAGAGACTGGACATGTGGTGCAATCATTAATGGGGATCCCATCAGCTGCCAACACAGGAGCACCCCCACTGACCTACCCTCATCCTCATCTGGTCTGCCCAAGTCCCTGCGATCAGACAGGAATCAGAAAGCAAGTATGTCAGCCAGGAGGCCAGCCCCCACGCTTCTGTCCCTCTCACACACCCCAGGTCAGGCTGTATCTCTCCCCACAGAGCCCCCAGTTCAGGGCCCTGTTTCCTGCCCTGACCCCAGGCCTGCTTCTTCCTCTCTCCAGGGGTCCAGACTGTCAGGGCTGTCACAAAGCCACCAGGAGCCTTTGTGTGGGGTTGGGGTCCTAAACAGCCCTCTACTGGCTGACAACTGCCAGATGAGCTGCGCTAACAAGGCCTGGTCGGGACCCAGGATGTGTTGCCAGGGCAACCGGGCGCCTTCTCTCCTTTTTCCCACCAGCCACTCATCACTGGGCAGCCTGTGTGTGTGCATGTGGGATTGCGTGTCTCTGTGTGTGTCTGTGTGGACCGTCTGTGTGTGCATGCACACAACAGTGGGCTTCTGCACACGTGTAACTACATGTATACCTTATGCACATGCATGCATGTGCATGCTAGTGTAGTGACGTACATGTGCGAGTGCAGTTGTGTTTGTGCACAGGTGTCAGTGTGGGCATAATCATGTGAGTGCAGAATGCACATAAGTGTAGCCATGTGTGTCAGCAAGTGTGTGTGTGTGTGTGTGTGTGTGTGTGTGTTTGCATTTCCATGTGGGCTGTGCACACGTTTTTCTGTGTGTAACTGTGTACATGTATATAACCTTGTGAGTGTGCATAAGTATCACTATGTAATTGTGCACATGTGTGTCACCATGTGTGTGCTTGTGTGTGTGTGCTGTGGCTGCCCTCTGCCTCACAATGTCCAAAAGGACATAATCGGACCAGTGGCTCCAGAAGGCCCCCTCCCTCCTCTCTCCATGCTGGGTCCTCACTGGGGACACCCTCACCTATGTCCTCTCACTCAGACTTCAGGTCTCGACCCACTGCCTCTTCCTCAGGGCAGCCCCCACCCTGACAAAGTCAGACCCTTTCTTAGATTCCTTGTTAGTGTAACACACCGGCTCATACTACCGATCTGATCAGAATGATCTGTTATTTGCACCTGCAGTGTCCCAGTGCTCAGCCCATGGTGTAAACACAGGTGACGTTTGCACTCTCCTTCCAGCCCGGCTATCATCTGGGGCTTCCTACTGTCAGAAGTGCCATGGGCATCCGGGGCCACCACTAACCGTAGGCACCTCATTTGGTGCAATCACAGAATGGTGCCCCTTTCCCAAAGTGGAGCCAGCACAGTGGACAGGAGAGCCAAAAGATGAGGAGTTAGATGCCTGGAGACCTTGTGGGCACCTGGATCCAGCTGTACCTGAAGTCCATAACTGCTCACCATTTCAGTTCAGAGAAGCAATAAGTCCTTTTTTTAAAAAAAAAAAATTTTTTTAAATTGATTTCAGAGAGGAAGCGAGAGAGATAGAAACATCAATGATGGGAGAGAATCATTGATTGGCTGCCTCCTGCGTGCCCCCTACTGGGGGTGGGGGGAGATCAAACCTAAAACCCGGGCATGTGCCCTTGGCCAAAATCAAACCTGGGACCCTTTAGTCCGCAGGCCGATGCTCTATCCACTGAGCCAAACTGGCTAGGGCTAACGTCCTTTCCTAGCTTGACTTTTTATTTATCTATTTGCAGCCAAGGAGCCCGATACAGCGAGTCTCCAGCACGAGGAAGGAAGAAGTGCACCAAGCGAGGTGCCCCAGTCTGGTAGGGGCAGGCATATCCTAGAACCTGGGATTTGTACGTCCTAGAGAAGGAAGGAAGGCATATCCTAGAACCTGGGATTTGTACGTCCTAGAGAGCTGGGGAATGTGGGCCTGGGGAGAGGGAGTGAGCATTAATCAAGGAAGGGTTTGCAGAAGGAACAGAACCTGAAATAGGGAAGAAGCATTGGGGTAGCAGGCACATTCCAGAGGTAAAGGGAAGGGGCTCAGGAGTCCAGCCAACTGGGGCCTCCATCCCACTCCCCCTCAGCCTCAGCCACAGCGCCTGCCCCAATCTGTCCATTGCCTTCTGCTGTCCAGCTTGGGAACCTTCCATGGCTCATCATGGCCCCCCACCCTGTGCATGCCCCACAGGGAAGCCCACGCGCCCTTCCTGGAGCCTTTGCTTGTGTGGTGCCCATCTCCCCAGCACACCTGAACCCTGACCGTGCCCGGTGAGCATTCCATGGTGGAATTCCAGCCCGGGACTTTCCACTCTGCAGCACAGTGTGGCCGTGGGCGAGTCATGTGACTTGTGTGGGTCTCAGGCTCCCCACAAGCAGCGCTTCAGCCCTGGTGATGAGGCTCAAGCTCATGTGTGGAAAGAGCTCATGTTCTGTGGAAGCAGGCACAATATAGCAATAGCATAATCACATTAGGGTGGTAATTATAGGCTGCCAGCAGACCCACTGAGGTCAGTGGCTTCCCTGGTCCTCCTGCGCTGGGGGCCTTTCCCCACTGCACCTGCCCCTCTGTCCAGCTGCTTGCACCCCCTTCCTCCAGTGTGAGATTCAATTAAGCTTTTGTTTTCTTCTCAGCTCTTCTGAGAGTGGGAGGGAGGGGCTGTCTGCAGCTGGGTCTGCTGACAGGAGGAGAAAAAATGACTCCAATAAAAAGGAACCGCTGCAGAGGGAGGCCTGCATGTGCATGCCCTCCCTCCCACCAGGGGGAAATCCAGGCCCTCACGGAGGTCAGGAGCACGGGGCGGGTGTCCAGTGTTGACCTGGAGAAAGAAGATGCCTACCAAGAAGGGCTCCTGGTGGCTCAAATGTAAAAACAGAGCCTAGCAACCATTGCTAAACCTGGGCCTCTCAGACAGGCTGCCCTACAGGGAGAAGCCTGCACTGGCCTGCCTGCCTGCTGGCTGAGCCCACTCTTATACAGGAGTTGCTGGCATTGTATTTTAACCAGTAGGAGGTTTTCCCTGTCCAATTATAGCTGCACAGCTCTATGTCAGTAGCATCTTCACTGACCAGAGTGGCTCCATTCCAACCAATCAGGGCAGTGCTTTTAGGACCAATCAAACTGTGAGATTTGAAGTCCTTATTTGCATAAGGATGGACCAATCTGGAACCAGGGGCCAGGCTTCTGTCTATATAAGTCAGCTTCCCTATGGCTAGCCTGGGAGCATACTTTCACTTGAGGACTATGTTTCCTTGGTTGAGGCTGAACCACCCAGGGTCTGGATGGAGCAGAGCTGTCTAACTGGACAGCCACCTTGCTGGATGGCCACCTTACTCTGGTGCTGTCCAGCTATTGAGCTGTTATACTACAGAGCTGTTTGCATTGAATAAAGTTTCCTTCAACACACCCTAACGAGGGGGTTCCTCTTGGTACTGAATTGCACCAATGACCATGGGTTGACACCGGGTGCAAAAGCACCAGTCCTGGGCCCACTGCTCACAGCGGGCTGCCTGGCTCTCCCCCTGGTGAATGGAGACATTACAGGCACTTCCCTCCAGGGTTCTATAAGGTATGTACACACACTGCAGGACCCGCACTGGTGAGAGGATGACCCACTGCATCTGCGTCAGGACTCTGCAGGTTGTGGGCCCAATCCCCAGCGTGGGGTGTGCCAGAGGCAGCCGATCCATGATTCTCTCCCATCATTGCTGTTTCTCTCTCTCTCCCTCTCCCTTCCTCTCTGAAATCAACAAAATATATTGTTTAAAATGTATATGTATTTTTAAAAAAGAATGAAGCACTGACACTTGTTACAATATGAATTAACCTTGAAACATATGCTCAGTGGGAGAAGCCACTCGGCAAAAGGCCACATGGTGTGTGATTCCATTTCTGTGAAATGTCCAGGACGGGCACATCCACAGAGATGGGAAGTGGGTTAGTGGCTGTCAGGAGTGGGAAGGGGGAAGGGGAGCGGCTACTGACGAGGACGGGGCTTCTTTTGGGGATGATGAGAATGTCCTGGAATTAGATAGTGGTGCTGGTTACACATTGTGAATGCGGTAAATGGCACTGAGTTACTCACTTTAAAATGTTTAATTTTCTGACTCCTTCAATTTTTTAAAAAAAGTTCACTGTTCTTGATACATTTAAGATTTGAACACTTTACTATAAATTATATATTTTTAAAAGCATATAAAATTTCCCAGAACCTGCCTGCTTCTCCCCGCTTTTTGGTCCCTGCTGGGATTGGGCCCAACTACCTGCCCCCACCATCCCTCCTGGACCAGCGCAGTGCCCTCCACCCTGGTGTCCTGTCCTGGTGCGGTCTACAGTCTGTTCTCCCTGGTAGCCACCAGAGGGCGCTGGGAGCACCTAAGTCAGGTTTGGCGTTGGACCCCACAGCCTATCCCTACTGTCAGTAGATACAAGAGGGCGACAGTGAGCACTGAACCCGCCCGGTCCTGCTCTGCCCACTGCCCTCCATGGCTCCCATGTCTCTTGGGGTAAAAGCCCAAGTCGTCTCGAGCCCACGGGACCCTGGACAACCTGCCCTGTCACCTCCTTGCCCTCACCTCCTCCCTCTCTGCCTCACTCATTCCACTCCAGCCACACAGGCTTTCTGCAGTTCCTTCAACACACCCAGCACTGTCCACCTTCATGGCCTTTCCACCGGCTGTATTCTCGTCCGGGTGCTCCCTTTCCCCAGACTTCCGTAGTACCCTCACCTTCCCTGGGTATCCCTCCACCCCTTTCCTTCCTACCCTTCTTTATTTTCTTCCTAGCACTCCAGGAGAGACATTCTAGTCCCAGGGCTTGGCACAGAGTAGGTGCTTGACAAATATTTGCTGAATGAATGACCCAGTGAGTGATGATCAAGAAGCTGAGGTGTGCCCTGGCCGATGTGGCTCAGTGGATAGAGCGTCGGCCTGCGGACTGAAGGGTCCCAGGTTCGATTCCGGTCAAGGGCACATGCCTGGGTTGCGGGCTTGATCCCCAGTAGGGGACATGCAGGAGGCAGCCAATCAATGATTCTCTCTCATTACTGATATTTCTATCTCTCTTTCCCTCTCCCTTCTTCTCTGAAATCAATAAAGATATATTTAAATAAAGAAGAAGCTAAGGCGTGCCCTGGCCGATGTGGCTCAGTGGTAGAGTGGCAGAGTCTCAGGTACCATTCCCTGTCAAGGGCACATACCTGGGTTGCAGGTCCATCCCCAACCCCGGTCGGGGTGCGTGTGGGAGGCAACTGATCGATGTGTCTCTCTCACATCGATGTTTCTCTCTCTTTCTCTGTCTCTCTCCCTTCCACTCTCTCTCTCAAAAAAAAAAAAAAAAATCAATGGAAAAAAATACCCTCGGTCGAGAAGAGTTAACAAAAAAGAAGCTAAGATGCTGCATTTTCCAGAGAAGTCGGTAAGGGTAGGGAGGGGCAGAGGCGGGCCTCCTCCCACCTGCAGAGGCAGCTGCAGACCCTCCACGTACACTCACACTCTCAGGCTCTCTCTCTGGATGACTGGGCAGGGCTATTTTTTACTGCTTGATGGCCCACCTGAGTGTTTTCGCTGCACAATAATAAAGGATGAGCTGATGGGTGAGCCAACAAAAAATCACACGCCCAAGCAGCAGATCTGTGGGTGCCTGCTCAGCCCACATGGTCCTTCACATGTTCCCCCTTGTGTCAGCTAGGACTAGGGTCCCCAGGTCAGGGCAGTTCTAAATGTTATTACTCAATGTTATTCCTGCTAAATGTTAGAAGTAGTGCAGTATTTTGCAGACCAGCTGTAAACAGAATGAGCTGACGGGGGCCTCACTGGGATGAAAGTAGCCAACTACAAAGAAGAAAGCAACCTGTAATTGACCAAATGGTATCTGTAAGCAATGGCTAAGCCTCCCTTCTGGGAGACAGAGCTTTGGATATAAGTCCCTGTCTTCTTTACTCGCTGCAAGTAAATAAAGCGGCAGCCCCCCTGAATTCCATAACACTCGCAACGCCCCCTCCGTAGGCCAGGGAAGCTCTCCCATGCAGGTGTCCGCCTGGTACGAGCATCCACCCACACACGGGGTGGCAGGCGGGTCCTGTAAAATCACAGCTGCAATACAATGGGGTCTCTTATGCCCTCCCCCTCACCCCCCTCACGCCACTCTGGCCTCACTGTTCTCAGGAGGTCCCTCCAGGCTTCAACACCCCTCACCTTTGGGCCTTTACTCTGTCTGTGCCCCCTGCAGGTGCCCTGTCCCCCGGACCCCAAAGCTTCCTCCCTCCCTGTCATGGTCAGGCTCCCATGACCGCCTTATGTACCTGCACCCATGCCACCCTTCATCCCTGCTGGCCTCTCTCCTCCTTCACGCTCCCCTTGTGTGTGTGTGGTCATCTTCCTGTTAAGAAATCAGCTCCAGGTCCTAGGACCCGGCTGGAGGAAGATGGCGGGCTCGCAGTGAGCAGACAGCAAACCTCTCGGTTCACCATGGCCGTATCAGCAGTGAAATGGGCGACAGCAAACAGAACTATTTTGAAACATTTATTTCCAATCCAAAAGGGAGCTTTATACTGTGTTTGTCATAAATCCACATACGCTTCTCTTCCAGATGACTATAATTGCAAAGTAGAACTTGCTTTGACATCTGATGGCAGGACGATAGTTTGCTACCATCCTTCTGTGGATATTCCGTGTGAACACACCAAGCCTGTCCCTCGGCCAGGTCCTGTGCATAATTATGGAGAAACACAGGATCAAATACTGAAAACCAGGTCAGAAGTGAAAGATGAACACTTGGAGCAAGGACCCGCGATAGGACAGCTTCGCAAAATGCTCTTTACTACTGAGCACCGTTGGTATCTTTATGGGCGGTATCAGACACGTCCTAGGAAACTGAATCCTCCAAAAGACAGATGATACTGAGGTTTTCCGTAAAATGCTGTCCTGTTCTCATTTGCCATTTGAGAAAATGCAATCAGATATATTCACTACTATGTTATATAGTAAAATAATAATAAAATGCCTTTTCATCAAAAAAAAAAAAAAAAAGAAAGAAAGAAATCAGCTCTAGGGCAGAGATTTTGATCAGTTTTGTTCACTGCTGGGTCCGCCCTCTGCCAGTGTGCACAGGGTAGGTACCCAATGTATGCTTAAAGCGGATGGGAATGAATGAGTGACTGTCCAGGGCCACGGCCAGCTCTTTCTGGAAGTGTCTGGACCTGGCCAGTGCTCCCCAATGGGCTGAGTGGGACCCTAGGGGGTGAGGGAGCCCCACCACTGCCTCCCTGCCCGGAATGTCCTCTGTACTCAGCTCCCAGGTGACCATCCCAGGTGCCTGCGCCCTGGGTGGCTTAAACAGCAGAAACCCTCACAGCTCTGAAGGCCAGAGGTCTGAGGTCAAAGTGTTGGCAGGGCTGCTCCTTCTGGGGGACGTGGGGGACCATCTATTCCAGGTCCCCTCGGGCTTCTGGCATCCCTCGGCTCCAGTCTCCGCCTCCGTCTCCCATGACCTTCTCCGCCATGTGTGTGTCTGTGTCTGTATTTCCCCTTCTTAGGGGGACACCCGTCATTGAATTTAGGGGCCACCTGACTCCAGGATGACCTCACCTTGATTTGATTACATTTGAAAATTTCCTGTTTTCAAATAAGGTCACAGTCACAGAACTGGGACTTGAACATATCTGTTTGGGGAACACAATTCAGCCCACAACACACTGCGGTCCTCCGCCGCTGGTTAAATCGGACCCTAGACCTGCTTAGACCTGCAGACTCGAGTCCCTGGGGGTCCAGAACGCTTGCCCTTTGGTTGCTGTTTTCACAACTTTAAATTTTGATATAATTTCAAACACACAGAAAAGTTCACGGTAAGTACCATAAACTCCTGTCAATTCTGTCCAGGTTCCCCAATTGGCTGCGTTTTGCCCTGTTTGCTTGGTTATATTCTGCATCTACATTTACCTATACCTGGATTTCCATCCATCCGTTAGCTATGTGCATATATATGTACTGATATGCATTTCCTGAGCCACTTAAGATGATGTTGGAGGTGCTACGTCCCTTCATCCATAAACACAGAACCTCATATTTTCTGGGGGAAAAAAGATTTTCTTTTCTAACCTGGCGCAGTTATTAAGATTAGGAAATTTCACATAGAAACAGTATTCATATCTGACCCAATGACTAGAGGGACCTTGGTACAGAGCAGGTTGCCACGACAACAGACGGTGGCAGCCAGGCCAGCAGGCAACAGCTCAGAGGAGGGAGCCCAGCCAGCGGGGATGGGGCGAGCACCCCCCGCCGAGCTGTGGGAAAGTCAGGGTTAATGGAGCCTTGGAGACCACAAAGAGTGAAGAGGACCTCCTGGTCCTCTTAGAGCAGTGAGGGAGAGAGGTGTTGGGACTTAAAACATGTGTCTTGGGGGAGCAACAACTCAAGCCAATCCAAGCAGCCTAAATTCCTGGGGCCACGGGGTTTGGCTATTAGCCGCGACACCGTAAGGCTAGGCTGTGGGCATCGGGTCTGCAGTTATACGAGTAATCAGTCCATATCAGGCCTCTCCAAGCTGCCCTGCGTCCTGCAGGCCCCCCATGGCTGCTCCACGCACGTGATGACACCTCCCTTTGCTCCATCTCTCCTGCTTCTAGGGTCATTGTCTGCCCACCAGCCTCCACTTTCTTTGTGGACAGAGCTTGGAGACTGCTTGGGTGTCCACTCGCCACCCTGTGTGACTCAGGGAAACCCATCCTACCTGGGTGCTGCTGAGAATCCTCAGTGGGGTCCTACCCCTTTGCTGGAGATTCATTTATGTGTGGACATGTGACTCCCTTCTGGCCAATGAGATGTGAGTGAGGTCAGGGGAGCAACTGCTAGAGATCACTGCATCCCCATGCATCCCGAGGCTTGTGACCCCTTCAGCAACGCGGACTCGTTCCTCGTGCTATTGTCTCTTGTTCTCTTTCTTCTGCATCCTGCTTCCACTTAGAAAGGCCCTCACGTTACACTGAGACCATCTAGATCAGTGGTTCCCAACCTTCTGGCCCTTTAAATGCAGTTCCTCATGTTGTGACCCCACCATAAAATTATTTTCGTTGCTACTTCATAACTGTAGTGTTGCTACTGTTATGAATCGTCATGTAAATATCTGATATGCAGGATGGTCTTAGGCGACCCCTGTGAAAGGGTCGTTCGACCGCCAAAGGGGTGGCGACCCACAGGTTGAGAACCGCTGCTCTAGATAATCCAGGATCATCTCCCATCTCTAGGTCAGTGGATCAGCAACCTTAATTCCATCTGCAACCTTGATTCCCCTTTGACGTGCAACAGGACAGATGGCCAGGTTCTGGGGAGTTAGGTGTGGACACCTTTGGGGGTTGTTAACCTGCAGGCCACAGGAGGTGTCCTTGGTCCTGAGAGGGAGGCCCAAGAAAGTGGTCCCTTTCTGCCTGTGGCCATTGCAGCTTCGTGAGGAGCTGTCTGGAGCAGCTGCAGCTATATTGATGCTCATCTGAGGACGCAGACAGTGTAAAAGGAGGCAGAGCCACAGCAAGCACAGAGCAGCAGAGTGGAGTCCAGGAGCCTCTTTTAGGAGGAGATAACACGTTGCTTCTCTACTTAAGCCCATCAGAGGCAGGCGTTTTGGTTGCCTGCTGTCAGAGGTATCTACAGAGTAGAATCCAGCTGCCCTGGAAACAGAACTCCAGCCTGTGTGTGTGTGTGTGTGTGTGTGTGTGTGTAAAAAAGACTACATTTCCTAGCCTCCTTTGCAACCAAGCATGGCCCTGTGACTAAGTTCCAGCCCGTGGGATGTGAGCAAGGGTGGCTGTGCCTTCCAAAGTCAGGAGCTCACAAGACCTGGAAACCCAACTTCCTCTGAACAGCGAAATGGACAAAAAAGTCTTGGTGTAGCCATTCAGCTCAGTGGAATGCCCCCTAGCGGTGACAATGAACATGGATGAATCTCACATAGTTTTGAGCAGGGGTCCTCAAACTACGGCCCTGGGGCCACATGCAAATACAAATATTGTATTTGTTCCCGTTTTGTTTTTTTACTTCAAAATAAGATATGTGCAGTGTGCATAGGAATTTGTTCATAGTTTTTTTAAAACTATAGTCCAGCCCTCCAACGGTCTGAGGGACAGTGAACTGGCCCCCTGTTTAAAAAGTTTGAGGACCCCTGGTCTGGGGGCTTTGGGGCTGTTACATGGCTGTGGTCTGTTGTGAAAAGGCCTACACTTAGGATACGTGGTATTGGACACCCAAAAGGAAAAATGTTCCCAGAGGACGGGGCCCAGCCTCGTCTCCCCTTCTGTCTCGAGCTGGGCAGGCATGGGCTGCAGGTACCCCGACTTTGGGGAGGAAGAAATTCTCCTGGGTCTTTGCTGCAGCCACGAAGCCGCCTGCCTCTGCGGGAGAAAAGTAGACTCTCCTCATCAGGGTCTGAGAACTCGAACCCAAGCGTAGTGCCCTTTTGGAGTGGAAGCTTCTTCAATATGCGTGAGAGATGTTCTGCTATTTTAGACAAGAGCAGATGGAGTGCATTTCATCCCACGGTAACTCAGGGGACGGACCACACCAGGCCGTAACCCTGGTGCGTTGTTCTCACTCAGGGACACTGGGCGACGTCGGGGACATCTGTGGCTGTCATGCCTGGGGGTGCTCTTGGCATCCGGTGGGTGGGGCCAGGGGCGCCGCCCCACCTTCCATAGGATGGTCCACAATGCCTGTAGGAGGAACCCTGCTATACACTAAGGAGCATGTGGCAGCCGGAAGGCCCCCGCCGCCTCCAGGGCTCTTCCAAGAAGCAAGGCACCATCCCCGCCCCTCGCAGACCCCAGGGGCCTTGCTGGGCCCTTCTGTGTCTTCCCCACCTGAGTGGGGGCAGGTGACCGTCCCCGGCCCCTTCCCAGGTCCCCCATGTGGACTCACTCCCAACTCATTTGCCCCTTGCATTTGGGGAGAACGAATTCAGTCTCCAGCGGAGAGCAGGGCCGGGAAGCTTCTCAGCATGGCCTCCACGCCTCGCATCTCCACACGAACTGGGCTGGGCTTGAAATTCAGCCGGAGGGTTCGGTACTGAGTCCTTGTTTCTGCCTCCGCTGGAGCATCCCTGCCCCAGAGCCAGGAAGGGCACTGGATCCCTCAGCTTCTGACACACACACACACACACACACACACACACACACACATACACACATTCCCTTGGGTCAAGGGCCTTTCCATCATGACTGCATTTTGCAAATATCGAGATTCGCAAACGCTGGGAGCCCCGCTAGAGGCAGCCCAAGGCTCCATGCTGTGCAGTCTTGGGCAATCACTGGGCCTTTCTGGGCAACACAGGGATGACGATACCGACATCCATCTCTGAGGATGGCTGGTGCGGAAGGCTTCTAGGAGCCCACAAACCCTTGAGCGGAGCGCCCTCTGTTGGTCGCCCTGCGGTACTGCTGTTCCTCCCTGGCGCCGGCGGAAGATCAAATTCAAGGCAGTTATTGAAACTCCGCGGGGGGCGCGCCTGTTCCGGGTGTGGGGTGTCCAGGCGGAGGCAAGACAGGCACGGTTCCCGCCCAATTCGAGCCCACATACTCTAGTGGGGCAAAAAGACAGTCACAGATGCAATATAGAGTAAGCTCATGATAAATGCTGGGAGACACCACCAAAAGGTAGGAAAACACCCTACTCGAGGGAAGGGTTTTTGGAGGAGGTGATGTTTAAGGTGAACCTCGGAGGACTCAGCCACATGAAAATCGAGGGATGAGCTCACTGCACGGTGATGAGAGAGGAGACTGGTGGGCATGGGGGGTTTGAACAGGCCAACAGGAACGGGGGCCAGTGTAGCAGATGGCAGGTGCTCGCCCTCCCGAGGCAGGAGCCTGTCAGGGACCCTGCAGGGCCCCCGGGCTGCCTTGACACATCACTCA